TTCAGTCTGAATATTTTTCTGATTTTTAAAGCATTTGCATATATGTAGTAAAGTTGATGAGAGATCGGACACAAGCATAAGCATAAAATTCACTTATGCTTCATCTATATGTTATGCACACAGTTTAAAGCAATTTTCTGCAATATTTTTAATAAATTTGTTCATAAAACATTTCATGTTGTTAAATTTTTCCACGGTAGCACCAAGCAGAAAAATTAACAGATTAAGTAATAAATAACATGAAAGCCTCATTGCTTTCATTTTTTTTAAAGCAAAATAAATTTATAATCAGGTATAGCAAGGCTGTGAGGAAGAGCGTGAGTGATCACCGTCCCACAGACCCATTTTCTTTTCAAACCCACTCAGAGTTAAGGAAGTGGTTTGGTAAAAAAATTACTGATCATTCAAAATTGTTATAAAGATAATGATTTGGGAGAAAAAAAAAAAAAAGCCTGGCTCGACATGATGTCAGGAGACCAGAGAAATTAGCCCGAGGTATCAGCCACCATAGAGTGGGGCTCAGGAGCAAAGTAGCAGTAGGCTCTGGGTAGGTAGTCATGACACCTCAGAACCAAAAGCTGTTTTGATAGAGTAAGGCCACTGGCTCTCTCGGCTGTTACTAATGAGATCAAATTCTGAAATGGTAGGAATAGAAATAAACCCCAAAGAAGAGAAATCTCCATCTTCTCGGTACTGAGTTGTTGCTAGGCATTTAGGAAAGTCATACATACAAGAATTCTTATGTATTATTCAGGGTTCTCTAAAGGGACAGAGCCAATGGCATGAATATATAATCTAAAAGGAATTTAGTAGATTCGCTTACATGATACAGTCTGGGTAGTCCGACAATGACTGTCCCCACACCGGAGAGGCTGAGAACCCGAAAGCTGCTCTGTTCCCAAGGCTGGGTGGCTCAGCAGGACCAGCTAGGCACTGTAAGAATTCCTGGAGAGTCACTGGTTTTCCCTTGGTCCAGTTTGCAAGTCTGACAAAGCTGGAATCTGATAACAGTGGAAAGAAAAATAGAATACAGCGGCAGCATCCACAAGGTAGGTGACCTCACACACAGGGTAGGTGAACTCACCGGCCGGAAGTGCAGAAGCAGAAAGTGTGGCTTTCCCTTCGGACTTGCTTTCATCTGGGCTGCCGCCACCCTTCCCAGCACTTGGGAGACTGAGAAGAGCAGGTCTCTGTGAGTTCGAGGCCAGCCTGGTCTACAGGAAAGTTCTAGGACAGTCAGGACTATTACACAGAGAAACCCGGTCTTGAAAAAACAAATAATAATAGTAATAATAATAAAAAAAAAACCTAAAGCCGGGCGGTGGTGGCGCACGCCTTTAATCCCAGCACTCGGGAGGCAGAGGCAGGCGGATCTTTGTGAGTTCGAGGCCAGCCTGGGCTACCAAGTGAGTCCCAGGAAAGGCGCAAAGCTACACCGAGAAACCCTGTCTCGAAAAAACCAAAAAAAAAAAAAAAAAAAACCTGCTGTGGGATGGTCTGTATGTGCTCTGATTGGTCAATAAATAAAACACTGATTGGCCAGTGGCTAGGCAGGAAGTATAGGCGGGACTAACAGAGAGGAGAATTGAGAGAACAGGAAGGAGGAAGGAGAGACTGCCAGATGCCACCATGACAAGTAGCATGTGAAGAAGCCGGTAAGCCACAAGCCACATGGTAAGGTATAGATTTATGGAAATGGATTAATTTAAGCTATACGAACAGTTACCAAGAAGCCTGCCATGGCCATACAGTAAGTCTCTGTGTTTACTTGGTTGGGTCTGAGTGGCTGTGGGACTGGTGGGTGACAGAGATTTGTCCTGACTGTGGGCCAGGCAGGAAAATTTTAGCTACAAAAACCCAACAACAAACCTGTCCACTTTTCGCATGGGCTTTCCTCTTTCAAATAATCTGATCCAGAGACTCTCTCACAGGTGGCCCCAGCAGTTTATTCCTTCGTTGACTCCAGATGAGTCACGTTGACAATGAAGAGTAACCACCAGGAGCCCACGCCTTATAACTTGCCACTCAGTCACATTTTCTTATATTATGCTTAATTTTCAAATGAAAGTAATAACAATATAATTCCACCTCTCATGATAGTTTAGTTAGGTTTATGTTACTATGAACAAACACCATGGCCAAAACCAGCTTGGGCCGGGAAAGGGTTTATTTCAGCTGACAGGGTAGAGTTCATCATGAAGGGAAATCAGGACAGGAGCTCAAAGCAGCCACTCAGGCAGGAACTAAGGAAGGGGCCTTGAAAGAATGCTGTGTACTGGCTTGCTCCCCATGGGATGCCTCAACTTGCTTTCTAGGGCCTGCCCATGGGTGGCATTGCCACCAGTGAGCTAGACCCTCCCCCACCAGTCATCAATCAAGAAAATGCTCTGTAGAGTTGCCTACAGGCAATCTGACGGAGGCCTCTTCTTTCCAGATAGTACTAGCTTACATCAAGTTAGAAAACAAATAACCAGGACACGTGGTATAACCACGGACATAGAAACACAAACATTGCTTTCTCTCCCCCGGAAGAGGTGGCACAAACCTTCGAGTAATGCTTCTTCTCTTAGTGTCCCATAGCTTAAATATGATAATATAGATTTCTGGCAGCTAGCCCTTGATGTTGTTTCAATAAAAGTTACATTAGATAGTAGAAAAATAGAGGAGGGAAACCAAATATTTGCTTAAGACATGTGTATGTATGCACAAACATATTCGTAACAAAATAGGACAGGACTTCTTGTGGTGATTGCAACCATCATTTCTATAACTTGTCATGTAGCTTTAGATAATATTTATAACAACCTTCCTCTACTACCTAGTCTATATTTCCTCTACATTTGCAAGCACCTCAGCAACCTAACGGGGTTATCATTTTCTCATTTAGAGAAATCTATCCACATACTTCTTCCTCATCTGCTTCCCACTCATTTTCCTTTCAGGTCCCAAACCATTGGATGCAGCTCATGGGTCAGTATAATCACACACCTGACCATTTCTCCTACCAAGCACAATGTACAACTTTGTGTACTACATGAAGTTCTGCCTATTGTGAAGACTTCCCTTTACCGGTGTCCTTTGGGGTAGTCCCCAAAAGGGGGCTTTAATGCTGTAGCTGTCCATGTCTGGGTGATTCTTGTAGAGATAGCATGCAGAACCATCTGTAAACCAGGCCCTGGTCTTCTCTTCTTCAGTACAACAATCATAGGGCACAATTTATAAGGCTACATGTGCATACATGGGGACAGATGACATTGCAACAGGTAGAGAAACCATGGCCATTTGGGCTACTTCTTCATGTGACTTGCTTGTGCCTTCAAGACTTGCTCTGACCAGATCATGTATACCATCATCAAATCATTCCAGTCGATGAAGGGTTGCTGTTACATACACCAAACTTTATAGCTTGATGAGTCAGAGAAAATACTAGCTCAAGATAAACAACTCAGAACTCATAACAACTTTGTAGCTCATTGTCAAATGTTGTTCAGTTCCATTAATGACCGATAGCAGGCCGGAAGATGTCTCTGAAAGGGAGCATAATGGCCTGTCTGCATGTGGCATTCAGGCCTTGCTCTTAAATCCCAATGGCCTCTGCTGTGGTCCACCTATGGAGGCCTGACAAGGGCTTCAGACAGTATCCCCATCTTCCACTGTCACTGTGAGTCCCATGGCTCTGCTGGATCACACAGCCTAAGAGGCAAAGCAGCCTGCACAGTGGCCAGGACCTATTGAAGAATTGTTTCCTAGTCTAGGCCCCACTCAAAACTAGCCACTTCCCAGATCACCCCCATGAGAAGAACACGCTACCTCATGCTTCTTTCTCGATAGTTAAGTCTGAGAAATAGGGGGCAATTGCTGAAATAAATTTCATCATGTAGTTCTTAGGCATTTGGAACAGGTTTTCAGAAAGAATATAAGGAGTTTGGAGCTTGGGGTTAGAAAGCCCTTGAGTGTGGTAAGCAGAGCTTAATAGAACACTCTCCTGGGAGTGTGGGAGGCAAGGATGCTGGGAGACACGCATACAATAGAGGCCCAGTTTGTGTGGTTTCACGAAGGAACAGGAATCTATCAGGAACTGGACTAGGGTCCATTTGGTCTAATATTTTGGCCACAAACCTGGCTTCACTTTGCCCATGCATTGAGAACCTGTGCCAGGTTGCACTGAAAGATAATGGACTAATTTGTCTGATGGAGGAGGAAGTCTCAAGACAGGAAAGCATTCAGGTTGGTGCTGAGAAAGCAGCTTTAACTGTTGAAAGTGTTCAATACCACTGAAGGTCAATCTCCTTTGCTCCCCTGAGACAATATGAAAGCTGATCCTGAAGGCACATGCTGGCCCATCGATGGCTCCATCGTATGAAAAGTCCAAATTCATTTCAAAGAAGAAAGCCTAAGGAAAAGGGGCTCCCAGCTCTGCAAAACTAGCTGCCCAGCAAACAGTTTCCCCCACATCATCTTGCAGTAGCTGGGGGCCCATAGGGTTAAGCTATTGCTTGCTATTTGGCAACTTAGAGATATCATCTATCTACTCTCTGTCTCTCTGTCTCTGTCTCTCTCTTTCTCACTCTCTGTCTCTCGCTCTCCTCTCTCTCCCATTCTTTCCTTCTTTACTTTTTTTCATCTATCCTTTCTCCATCTACACCATCTGTCCTCCATGAATCAATACACATGCATATGTCCATGCATGGTAAGTGCTGGTTATGTACTGAATGCATTGACTTTAAAGAAAATCTAGGATGTTCCAGGCACTGTTCAGAGCAGTGTTGAGAGCAAAATGATTCATGAGATGTTATCCTAACTGAAATAAAGACTGAGATCCAATTCCAGGGACTGGCAGCTGGATGGAGAGGGTGTCCTCATGTTCTGTGGATACAACAGGAAGTTGCCTGAATTTAGTGATAAAATTATCAACCTGCGCCAGATTAAACATTCTTTATCTTCTTTGTTTGTTGACTTGGTTTATCTTGTTTTGTTTCCCGAAATGTATTCTTTGACAGATTCTGTGGCAACAGCATCCGGGCCACTACTAGTTGAAGTTGCCAAAACTCCTGGCGCCAGCCTTGGGGTTGCCCTGACTACCTCAGTGTGCTGTAACAAACAGGTCATCGTCATAGACAAAATCAAATCTGCAAGTATTGCAGACAGGTGAGTGTCTCAGCAGATGTCTGCTAATCAGCACTGTGGAAGTACTTTAAAATGTCATACCCACGCTTATATAACATGCACACTTACATACTTTACACACATACAGTTTAAAAAAAAAAAAGGAGTCCTGTTGCCAATTTCTACAAATTTCACACAAGAAGACAATTTATTGTTGTGAGCCTTAAAAATCATAACTACCTGATCAGCCACTTCATTACGAAAGGTCACTTCATCCAGACACCTGCTGTGCCCTTTATCAATAGGAAAAAACAAGCACACACATTTACTTACTGTGTCCCATGGAAAAACGAATTCCTGTTTTTGATATAGGATAAGAGAACTGATCTTTATTAAGCCCCGTTCAGAGAGGTCATGGGTTTTTCTGCATAATTAAATCCTGCTATCAGAAAATATTACTCCTTTTTGGAAAAGTAGGTAATACAATATTCTCAAAACGATGTGATTTTTTTAAAGACAAGCCTGATACTGTCATAGTTTGTTAATCTTAATGGCTTCACAACCTTCAGTCAGGGGTCTCTTAAATGCCGTTACAGTGTTATGATAAGAACAAAATTCATTTTCCCAATTCCTATTTTACATTTGTAAAGTAAAGGCGGAAGAGGCAAAAAGATTGCTTTTCCACATAATAAAATTGTCTTTACACCTCCTGGTTGGAAACCCCACTTTCCATACCCAAAGCACCCTAAGTAAATCACCGTAGAACAGAATACTATTTCCAGACGGAAGGGGTGCCTTGAAATGGCCTTGCCCTGATAAGCAGATTCCCACCATGGGAAATCCTTAGAGAGACCTCTGCTCTTCCACTATGTGCGTCTCCAGCCTCCTTCTCCCTTTGTACCCTGGGCTGCCTCTCTCCTGAGGCACTGGGACCCACAGCAACCCGGGGTGAGGGTGGCCTACAGCTCCATTGTTCACTGCACCCCATGCAGGCATTCACAGTGGCAGCCACTGGTGCCAGGATGCTCTCCAGCTCCCTGGTGCTTTAGCTGTCTGCCTCTGTTTTGGGTTTTTTTTTTTTTTTTCCCAGTCCACAGTGTGTAACCAGCTTAAGTGTGTCCGCTTGACTGGTCTATTGGGTGCTAACTGCTGTGTTACTGTCCTCAGTTCACCCAGTAGCCAGTCAGTGTCTTGTTCAGCAAAGTGTAGCTGCTAGGCCCCTACCCCTACCTCTCCCCTCAACTCCCCATGTGAGTCTGGTTTCACTGCTCTTAAGTCCTGCGTAATGGCTATTCTGTGCTAAAGAACGCTGGACTCCAGATTAACAAAACAGAGGGCCATAATAAAGAACTGGTCAATGGGAAGCCTCTGTGAAAAGAGATTCCAAGGAAACAGTCCCTGAATCTCTCCATCATCCTCATATGTGAGACCCTAGGCCAGTTCAGCACACCACATCTGAAGATGCTGAGTGACCGACAGCCCATAATTGTGAACAGAAGAACCTAAGAGAAAGAAATGTCAGAGGAACAAAATCAGGGGAGAAAAATAAATTCCCTTCTCCACACCCCTCTTCCCCTTAGTGTATAGCATCTCCATCCCCACCCCAAAATGTTCAAGGACAAAATATTTTCAAAGGCAGGAGAATAAGAAAATCATTTTTTTCTGCATTTTCCACATGATTTTCACATTCCAAGTCAGACCCAACATGCCTAAAATATAATAGGTAATATTTTCTACTAACATTGAATTTTTAAAAATAAATGATAATTGCATAAGACTCTAGCTATGGAGAACATGGAAGTGTCCTTCTGAAGAGGAAGATTTTTTTTTTCATGCTATCCTTTCTCCTCCCTGTAGATGTGGGGCGCTACATGTGGGCGACCATATCCTCTCCATTGATGGCACGAGCATGGAGTACTGTACGCTCGCAGAAGCGACCCAGTTCCTGGCCAACACCACCGACCAGGTCAAGCTGGAGATCCTCCCGCACCATCAGACCCGCCTGGCCCTGAAGGGACCTGACCACGGTGAGGGGAGACTTCCAGACCCTTTTCTTTATCTCACTCTCCCAGTTTTCTTCTTACAGAGAGTTAGGAGGACCAGTATGTCTCCCTTGATTCTATTACCGGCTTATCTTCATTCACCCTTCTGCATCTTCAGAGTCCCCTTTTTACAAGCATGTATAGTTACCGGAAACCCCAAAACAGAAGAGAGAAATACTGAAATTGAAATTTCAGGCTAGAACTGTTTGTGTGTTTGCTGATTTTTGTGTGTGTTTGTGTGTGTGTTTGCTTAAACATTGCTGTAAATTGAGTACTATGAGGAGGAAAATGATTTGGCTTCCTGATGGTCCACAGTGAATTTTGACTATCTGTAAAAGACAATGAAAGCAAGTCACAAAACAAACCAACCAACCAACAAACCAAAATCACACTGAGCAGCAAGGCGGCCAGGAAGAGCTGCCTTGCCAAGGACATCACATAGCATTAACCTTTATAGCCCTTTCCCACATCATCAAGTCTCTGAATGAGATGTTTTTACTATTCTAAAATAACATATAACAAATTCATATTAATAGCAGATCCATTCAATACTCATCAGGGAGAGACTGTGGGATGAAGGGTTGATTTCTGTGTTTTTGTCTGTTTGCTGGAATATTAATACCCTAGGATAGAGAACAAACACACTTTCTGCCAAGGAGAGTGAGAATGATAGATTCCTTGTCAGTAAACAGAGTCAGCTGAGGGAATCTGTGTTCTCACTGTCATGCGGTGTCCAGATAAGTTTTCTTGATGTATAAAACCATCCTCTTGGGCATCTTAAACAAAATATGGAACAAACACAAGACCATGAGCCATGAATCCAGGAAGTCAGTGTGTCTGGTGGAGTCTTGGTTCCAGTTCCTTTGCCCAGCTATTAAAGCACACTCCACCACCCCTTTCTCAGTCCTGGAAGCAGGAGGCCTCCCTACTGTTGGCCATTTTGACTGAAAGAGGAGTATGTGCTTTTCGGCAATTAGCAGCAGCCGGGTTTTCTAGCGTTGGAATTTTTGCTTGTGGGAAGGTCATTTGCATTGTGTTTCTCACCTTCTAAAAAGGCACTGCACTTCTCTACAGGGGGACTTAAAAAAAAAAAAAAAAGAAAGGGACGAAATAATTTTCATACTGAATGAGTCAGCTGGATGCAACCTTTTTTAATTAAACGGAGCTTAGACAGCCCTGAAGCTAATGATAATCTCTAGTACAGCGTGTTGCCCTTATCAGATTTTAATTTGACACATTGGAGTGGGGAAATGATGCAGCATAGGCAGGTTAGGATTGGAAATCAGCACGGTTGAATTGAGGCTCCAAGGAGTGAGAGGATGCTGAGGCTATGGATGTGGGAACACGCCCAAGGTTTCACCCCAAGCCCTTGAGGTGTGGGATGGCTAAAACTGTGTGTCTTCTCAGTATATATGAAGTCAACATCGGACTTTGAGCACAGACGGTTTAAGACTACATGCTGTGCTTTTTGGGGAAGATGTGCCTTCATGTCTGGAATCAGTAAGTCAGAAATGTAAGCAAACCCTTTCAAAATGTTAGTTTTTTTGTTTGTTTGTTTTTTGTTTTTTTAGCAACCTCATTATTTTACTTTTTTCTGCCCTGATACAAATTTTAAATAGTTCAAATAGTTCCCAACTCATGAAATATTAAATATTTTTACCTGCCAAGATAATTTGAAAAGATGAAGAATTTATATGCCGAACTAACTGTATGCAGCAAGAACACACTGTTTTTCTTTTCCTGGAAGTGCTGACGTCATTGGTATTTGTCCGGCAGGAGGCTAACAGTCTAGAGCTGGCTGTCCTCCTTATTAGGCGTATTAGTGTCACCCCTATGTTTTACATCAAAAGCAGACTCTCTAAAATAAGTAGTGGCATTTTAAACACCATCATTTCTTAGTCCTGAGAGAAAATGGTTGAAAGAGAATGTGGGGTGGCTTTGCAATTCTCCAGCTTCTAATTTTTGTATTAGTAAGGTCTGACATATTTTCATCATTCTTCCAAAAATATCTGTTCCAATTGCTTTCTCCAGTCTGCGGTGCCTGGGCACCGTTTCCCTCATCTCATGAAAATGTGAAGATCCAACATTTTTCCAAATTTGATTAGCAACAAAGCATTCATCACAGGGATTCTAGAGCACTGTGGAAAAGGACGAGCCAACTGTCCCTGGTAAACAGCACCAGTCACAACACTGGCAATGGTGGCCTTTTCAGGGCTAGCTCTACCGCTCAGGGGGAGCATGCTTGCCTAAGCGTGTTCCCCGCGACCTTGAGTTCCCTCCCCAGCAACACAGTTAAAAGGGAAAACATTAGTTTTCATTGAAGTTGAAGTTTTCCCACTGCACGTTTTTGGGAGACATAAACTTGACCGAAGGAAAGGGGGCTCTAGAAAAGTCAGTGTGGCCACTAGGCTTCATTTGTTCAAAGCAGAAAAATACTTCATCCTGTGATCTCCAGGGCCAACCACCAGACTAGCTGTCACCCATTCTAGGGTGACAGGGCAAGAGAACACAATTAGGAAAACAAAAGACGGTGCTTTGTATGTCCTAAGTATCTGAGGACATACGCTGGCATGGGAAGCATCGTGGTTTCAGTTTGTTGTCTCAGCTGGAGCAAGGGCTTTAGAAGACTCTAAAAGGCAGTGCGGCATGGCGGCTGTGGACCGGGCTCTAGAGACACCTCTGGGGACCTTAAGAAAGCTACCCAACTTTTTCTGTACCTCGAGTTCTTCATCTAGAAAGTGTGGGTGATAGTCATGCTCACCTCATCAGAATACCATAAGCAGCATCGCCCAAGACTCCGTGAAAAGGTGGGTAATGCAACATCAGGGATGCAGGAAGAGTTTGATGAACTATTATGGCACAGTTAAGCAAAAGAGTCCTTGTGAGTTCCCTCTGCAAAATGCAAGAACATGCCCAAAATGTAACATTAACTTACCATTAATCTCCTAAGATACTTATTTAATATATGAGCATCAGACATATGACTTTAAAATATAAATGATTTGGGCTATATATTCCAAATGGGCATTAAATGTACTCTCTATCCATGTTAGTCTTAAAATACCTTTTGCAAGCGCCCTTCATATATCATGAGTCCAACTTCTTGCATCATTTATATCATGTTACCTCATCATCATTGTGCATATATAAAGACTTAGTCCCTGGTAATAGTTAAGGGTCACGGTGAAGTTTATGGCCTCGTTCTCTTCTGCCTACAACAACTAGCACTGGGATAGGCACACAGTAGGTGATCAGCAATACCTTCCTTGTGGATCCACTGCTTTGGCTTGACGATTCTAATAAATGTTCAGTAGTTTTCAGAGTACTCAGTAAAGAGCTGAGGTGGGGGTAAAATGCTGAAGTCTCTTCACTCTAGCCGGGCTTCATTAAAAATACAGACAACACCTTGTGAAGAGGACAATAGAGTGGCTGTGATGGCTGATTAGCCAGACCCAGCACTAACAGCACCTTGCCGACAAGGTGTCTTGTGTGCCACAAAGTAAAACAAAGATGGGTGGGGGAACAAACAAGCAAACACTAATGTCTTGCCTAAAATACTCCTTTATCTCAAGGGAAAAGCTGTTGCCATGCAGATGTCAATCCTTATGTCCTGGGTACCATTCTAGTCTCTAGGAAGCAAGACAAGTAGAGCTCTCTTCTTACAGGATGTGCATTCTGGTATAAAGAGACTGTTAATGCGTATTGTATCCCAAGGCCATTTCAGGAGGTAATAAGGGATGCGCAGGATACAAAACAGTTAGTGAGCTAACATGGAGATGGCAGCTGCCTCCGCCAGGCAGGTCAGCGTTAGTTCTTCGGTAAAGATAGCCCCAGAGCTAAGGCCTGGATGATGAGAAGGAGCTAGCTGTCCAGACAACGGGAGGGAGCCAAGGAGGCACAAAAGCCACAATGAAACAAGGAAGGTGGCCAGCCAGCTTGTTCACAGAAGGACAAGACAAGTGTGGCTGAAAGATATGGATAGTAAATGATCCAGAAAAAAAAAAATGAGAAAGTAGACTGTCTGGTTCTCCTTGCAGCATAAGCCATGGACACAGGAGTGATGTGATTGAACGCATACATTCTAAAGTTCCCCTACATGTGTTATGGATTCAGGAAAGCAGATGCAGGATGTGGATCAGAGGGCCAAGTGTGATGGTACTGTGGTGGTCTAGAAGGAGACAGTGACTGAGACTGAGAGAATCCATAGACACAGGGACCCCAAACCAGCTATTCCTGCAGAAGGAAAGGTCCAGTTCCAGACCACACAATTCCAGTGTCTGTGAAAAGGGTTGCCTTTAAAGACTTGGGACAAATCTTCTAAAATCGAAGTGTCAAGGGAGTGGAACTTGTTGACAAAGACCGCATATTGCCTTTAAGGACATTCTGTCGTCATTGGCAAGTAGCTGGAACAGTGGGGGGGCATCGGTGCTGTTACCCACAGCTCACTTGCTTGTGTTCTGTGGGTCAGCACCAGGCTGGACACACCGTAGGTGCATAATTCCCACAGCAGGAAGAGAAGCTTCCATGAGCCAGTGACTATGAGAACACTGAGGCCGAGTAGCTGGCAAGGTCAAAGAGAAGGTGAGGGATAAAGGTAAGTCCGTGAAGCCCAGGGCAGCCTCACTCCAGGAGACCTGTCCATGCGGGAGCTTTTGCTGTGACTCCCACCAGAGAGGGTGAGAAGGGCGAGGGATGCCCTCCTAGGCTCTTACCTCAGGAACAGACATTTGCATGCATGCCAAGCGTTCAGCTGCTTTGTGTGAAGTCACTACTGCAACTCATTCAGATTCTTAGCCATAGAATCATAAAAGCACATCAAAGTTCACGGCTGTTTTCAACTCTTCGAGATCGTCCAGTGAAAAAGTCTCTATCAGACACAGGGACACAGTTCTAATACTATTCATTTTCCAGAATGCCAGATAGAAATTTAATGTTTCCTTGTTTTGAAGGCAAAGTCTTTGATCTGGTTAATTTCAGGGTGTGAACATATTTTCTGCAACATTTAAATAATAAAGTTTAAAATTAAGAATTACAAAATATAGCTCAGGCTGACCTCATATTTGCTGTGTAGCTTGTGATGGCCTTAAACTTTTGATTCTCCTGCCTCTGCCTCTTGAATGCTGGGGTGATAAACATGTGCCACCATGCCTGGTTTATGCACGCCGAGTACCAAACCAGGGTTCTTGTAAGCAAAAGGAGCACTCTACCAATCCCACCAATCCGCACCCACAAAATTCAAGTCTTAATAACAGCAAATTAAGAATGGAAACATGCTAAACTTTTTTTTTTTTACAAAAATGAAAGGGACACCCAAACTTTGAAGTTAACCTCATAACAATTTTGATGCTGTGTGAATGAAATATAATAACATTAAACCAAATGTTTATCATACAAATAAACCTTTTAAAAAAATCATAAACTATATTGAGACTTTTCTCCTTATTAGGAAAGAGGAAAGATTCTCATAGGCGCAGATGATTGTGATGGTTCATTGTTGAGGAAAATCAAGTCGCCCGGGATGGATAACGGTGTAATTAAAACGTCAGGGTCGTAAATTGGGCCCTGTGACTTGTCCAGCTCGGGCATCACAAGCCAGTATGATTAACTGTTCCTTCTCCTCCTTTTCTTCAAAGAAATGCTCCTAACTGACCAGGATTTGCAAAGCTTTAATTACTAATCATGTGCCATAGATCTTCATGGGGATGACTTTTAAGTTAAAAAAAAAGTTTTTTAATCTCTGCAGTGAAGCACAGGGGGAGATTAGAAATTGATTCAGTAGTCATTTTAAAGGGAGAAAAGATGGGCTGGGGAAAAGGCACGCATTATTCTCCGGAAGATGAAAAGTCTCCATGGCTGGTGTTAATCATCTCTTTTGCTGACCATTTAGAAAAGGGTAAAACCAAGTAGATTTCTTTTTTTTTTTTTTCCTTTGCAAGCAGCTTTCGTTTCTGTTAACAATTTTTCCTTTTCTTTTTTTTAATTTGTGCAATTCAGTTACTTTTTCCTCTTTTTTTTTTCCTTTTTTTTTTTTTATTTCGTTTTTGGTTCTTTGTTTTCCTCGTTCCTCATCATCACCTCATATGGGCAGTGAAAATTCAAAGGAGCAGCAGACAACTTCCCTGGGATTCCTGGGCCAGCAACCAGAGCAGCCTGCACACCAACCATCACCATAATCCGTACCACCCAGACCATTGCAGAGTGCCGGCCCTGACTTTCCCGAAAGCGCCTCCTCCAAACAGTCCTCGTAATGTTCCACGCTTTCTCCTCCCGGTCCTTCATTTGGTTATCTTCTCCTCATGCCTCCTTCCCCTAACTGACGACATCTCCGGCTGTGTGGGTGTTGCCTGCTTCCCATTGTCGCTGTTTCTTTCTCTGTACTAACAACGTGTCCTTTCTGGCCTCCGGCTTCTTCTTTTCTACTGTCATTATGAAAGGACGCCAGGGGATGGCGAGGTGGCTTGCCTTGCATGTGTGAGGCCCCGAGTTCAATCCCCGGCACCACAAAAACAATACGGAGAGAAAATGTATAAATGTTCAGAAGGCTTTATAAGCAGCTCAGGAGACAACTCAGAACGTTGGAGTGTGGTGGTCTCAGATCTCCATGTATGTGAATCACTTAAGACATCCATGTCAGAAAATACCTCCAAAATGACATTGTATACACTGATGTCTTAAGTTATAAATGGAGAAATTCATTTTAATCTTTGTTTTTGTCTAAAGTAAAGTTCATAGTCTGTGTGTGCGTACCCACGTGCTATGGAGGACCCTGTTCCTCAAAACTTACAAACTCGTGTGGCTCTAAGATTCTCCAGCGCTGGCTCCAGGGCCTGGTCTCTGTCCGGATGTGGGATACTGACTAACTGTGGCTGTGTGTCATATGTCCCTTTGGGTTGTTGCTGGTTGGCAAGGGTGGCAGGCTCAGGCCCCACCTCTGAATGCTCCATGCCAAGTCTCCACTCTCTTCCAGCGGCGATGGTGTCCTCGTCTTCTCCTACCTCCATGAGCGCATACAGCCTGAGTTCCCTGAACATGGGGACCTTACCTCGAAGCCTCTACTCCACCAGCCCAAGAGGAACCATGATGAGGAGGAGGCTGAAAAAGAAAGACTTCAAAAGCTCACGTAAGTGAAATGCTAACTAGGGGATCCATTTTGGCCCCCAGAAAAATGTGCGCATCCTCTACAAGGTAAGGTCATTAGGGAGATGCTGTGTAGCCGGTAACTCTGGGCTAAGGACCATGACAGAAACCTGTCATCTGTAGGGTAATGCATACACTGAATATAACTTCAGACTGATTTAGCTTGTCCTACCTTTTCCTACAATGACTTTGCCTATAACAATTTTGTTTCCTCTCTCTTTTAATGCCATTTGAGATGCCTTTCTACTCTGGGTAGCTTCAGGCATAAACATCTGTTGTTCATGTCGTATCCCTTCTAAAGCTGTCATGTCCAGACTTTGCCCCTCATTTGTTAAGTAGGAGACGTGTACATTTGTTTAACACAATCGGTTTCATATTCTGTTTCTTAACCTTCTTTCAAAAACAGTAAGTTTGAGCACTCCTTTTCAAATTCTCATTCCCCAGTTTTCTTTACCTTTGTCTAATGACTGGACACGGAGACTCACCTCTGTGGCATGTATTTCTTGGGTTTAATATAGTATTTTTATTTATTCTTTATACATTCATACAATGCATTTCAGCCATATAAATGCCCTCACCCCCTCTCCATCTACTTTGGGATTCTTCCACATTCTTCTCCCAGCTTCATGTAATGCTGCCCATATAGGCACAGGGTATCCACTGGAAAATGGTTGGCCTACCAGGGCCTGCAACCTTGAAGAACAGTGACTGTCCTCCCTTCAAACAGCCATCAACTGTCAATAGCTCCTCAGCTTGGAGTGGAGGTGCATGTGTCCCTCCCTGTGTAGCTAGACTTTTTCTCTCTGAGGCACACCAAGTCCTGGCAGTGCCATAGTCCACTTATAAAATAAACATACAGACAGACGCTTATATTATTTAAACTGTTCAGCCATTAGCTCAGGCCTACCATTGTCTAGCTCTTACTCTTATACTCAGCCCATTTCTGTTAATCTATATGTTGCCACGTGTTCCGTGGCTTTACCTGTTGCCTCTACATGATGCTCCCTGGACGGCAGGCTGGCGTCTCCTCCTCTCTGCCTTCCTGTCCTCTCAATTCTCCTCTCTGCTAGTCCCGCCTATACTTCCTGCCTGGCTACTAGCCAATCAGTGTTTTATTTATACAGAGCAATATCCACAGCATCCCTGGAATGTGGCTTGATCTTGTATAGATCTAGTGCCTGAAGTCACAGCTGCTGTGAGTTCATGTGAGTGCTAATCTGCCATGTTGGGAAAATACTGTTTCAAGGCAGGTGCTCACTACCTCTAGCTCCTAGAATTAATCTTAACCACCTTCCTTGATGTTCCCTGAACCTTGATGTGTGAGTGTGCATGTGTGTGTGTCGGGGAGTGGGGGATATAGATGAATGGACAGTTATCCTCTGCGTGTTAAGCAGTTATGAGTCTCTATATTAGCTGCCACCTACCACACAACGATGCTTCTCTGATGAGGGCCACACTAGACTATGCTGTAGTGATGTGCATTTAGAAGGCAGTTTGGTACTGTGTCCATTTAAGAACTATAGAATTAAGAAAGCTACAAGGATGCTAAAATTCACAAAAGTATTCTAAAGTCTAAGAACTTCAATTCTCATTCTTGAAAATATTTTCTGGGATATATAGCCAAGCTTATAGAGACGAATAAAGGCTAGGGAAATATGGCTGGCCATTTGCTCTGAGATAGCGTGATTTATATAGAAAGAACAAATGGCTGGATCCTTCTATAGGGAATGAACACGGGTTACCCCTAATTTTTTCTTTTCTGTTAAAGAATCTGGGTATCTTTAATCTCAATCATATCTAAGGGGAGAAAATGCCCATATTTCCAGCCAGATCTAAAATCATAGTTTAGTGTATGTCATGCCCTGTATCTTTTTTGGTGGCTGTGATTGTGATTCCTATAAAGAAACCTAAAGATGATGGGGTCTACTTCTATGTTTACCATGGGAATGAAGCGGAGGCACATTTCTCAGTTACTTCAATAATGTCGAACCCAGCAATCTCAAGGGTGGTGCTGACAGAAGGGTCTGTCGGCTCTTTAGTGTGTGTGCCAGAGAGTTCTTAGCCCTAGGAGATCTCTCGTGAGCTCGTCAGTACCACTAATACTGGGGACAGCAGCTACCACCCACTCTAGGAAGTGGTTTCTTCGAGTGGTAGGAACCTGAAGCCTCCATTATGAAGACGTGGCCAGCATCTTTCATTTCCTGGTGGTGTACACATCATCGTTTTTGACTTGTGGATCCTTTCTAGTGGAAATCGTGGGGGATGTAGAGATAGGTCAGTGGCTAAGGATGGTGTTCTGCTTTTGCAAAAGGACCCAGGTTCTATCCCCAGTACCCACATCAGGTGTCTCAAAGCCATTGGTAACTCCAGTTCCAGGGGACCTTATGCCATCGTCTGGCCTCTATGGGCACCTGCATTCACCTATATAGATAGGAAATGGGCAGACATGGATAGAAAAATGGACACACGCACATTAAAAATAAATTGTGTGTTCAAATATAAGGTTTGTCACCTTTAGTAACTGGAATTAACAATGACATTTTAAGTTAAGAAAATGAAAGAATGACCTTAGTCAAAGTGAACAAAACACATCTAGATTTCTGTTTGTTTCCTAACTAAGGCTAGGGAAAATTATTTGGCCTTGGCAGAGACTAGTTGCCGCTACTCGGCAAACCAATTATGAGCCTGACTCTACATACTGGGGGCCCGTCACCCCAACATTATATTCTAACTGTAGGGCCCTGAGCAAGTGTCTTAAGCTTTTTATGCTCTTGCTGAAAACGGGGATAATTATAGTACTGACCTTTTGGCAGTGGACAACCAATTGGAGAGAGAGCTACTGAAAGGCTTTATTTGTTAGGGCCGTGAAATTTTTGCCACCTGTAGTGAGCACCATCTTTAAAGGGGCAGGCTCATGATTTAACAATTACACTTTGCCAAAATCCACAGATCTTGAGTTTTGCATACAATGTCTCCAGGATTTGAAGTGGGTATGTCTATATAGCCATATTTTTTTATGGTATCTTCATGTGCAGTGCTCATTACTAACAGAAAGAGGCTATATCCCTCAGCAGGACAGAGCCATCAGAATCAAGTCATTAATGTTTGTATTTCTGCTTTGAAGCCTAGCCACTTGTGTGTGTTAGGTAGAGCCTGCTGTGTTGATTAAGGTCATTAGTGAATATGAATGACTGTTAATACATCTGTCCGTCTCACACTGATATTTGCACATCTTGAAATTCGCAACAAGAAAGAAAGCTGAGGCCTGACTTTCCCCTCACCGACTCATAAATTCTCTCTTGAATCAGTACACAGTCATTCAACTATAGCAAGAAGATAGACAGAAACCTGGGTTGATAATATCCAGGTCATGTTTGCTGCAGGTGGGAGCCACTGGGGCCCCAATGACAATGTATATTACAGGATGTTTATAAAAGTATCTCAAGAGAGCATACACTTTATATCTTAATGACTCAGTCAAGCCCAAATGGTATGAACTTTTATTTCTACTTAAAATACATGAAAAATGAGAGTCTTCCAATTTTGGGGGGGAAAGTTGAGAATTCCTTTTCTTTGTTTTATTGCTTAATATGGCCATTTTAGATGTAAAGACCCCAAGTAACTGAAAATAAAAACTGTATTACCATCCTCACTATATGCCTTGGTTTCTTCCCCTGTTTTATTTATGTCTTCATTCTGGGCTGCCATTTGCAGCCTAGTTTCTAATAGTTATGTTTCTATAGCAACCAGGCCATTCATGGATGATGAGTCACAGTGAAAGCCACAAAGATAATAAAAAGTCTCTTTGCTATATTGTTGATGAGGCCATAGTTTACAAAACAGAACAAGAAATTCTTACATATATCCGCAGGATAAAGTAAGGACATTGCCAGGAAACAATGACAAGTTCTCACATAAATATCGAAACCCTCATCATCCAAAGAAGAAGGTACAGAGAAGTCTATAACAATAGGTTATCTACAGCGAGAAGGTGTAGTTAGTGCTTGTTTCCGAGGCGGAGAGATGAGTTCTGTGAGCGCCAGGCTTTGAGTGGAGTCACAGAGCCCAGGAACAGCTCCAAGCTATGTCACAGAGGAAACTCAGTCCCACGTCTGGAATCTTCTGTGCCCCTCCCCACTACCAGGGCTACTCCCTTTTCAGCCAGCAAGGCGAAGGCTGCTCCCAGACCCCGTCACCCACTGTCCTAGCGACATGACTGCCCAGTGCTTAGCCCTTCCTGCTCCTGCCGACAGAGCCCGTGGGGTGACCCCGCCTCTTCCCAGTTGACCTGGATTACAGCACACAGCGGAAGGCGGGAAGACATTCCCAGAATGTCCTTTCTTTCTTTGGTCATTATTACTGGCTACTAGAGAGGGTGAGACTGGGAAGCACTGAAAGGCAGGAGATGAAGAAACCTTACAGTCTCCACCATCCTTTCCGTCGACCCCTAAGGAAAGGACAGAAGATAAAGGCAGCTCACGGTAAGCTTGCAAGAGTGACCGGTAAGCTTGCATGAGTGACCATGCCTGGAGTCGGAAAGCAGACAGCTTAGATGTTGCCCGACACCCTGTCAGCTCTATGTAGAGAAGGAACTGTCCAACCCTCTCACCCCACCCCCAGACTGGATCATGTGATTCACAGTGTGTTGGGTCCACAGCAGGCCACCCTCAACTCCGGAGCTTTAGTGAGGCAGAAGTCTCAAATAGCGGGATCAAACAACAAAAATACATTATCCTATCAAAACCCTGGGGCTCTTTTTTCTCCCTAAACTTTTTAAATGTTTTTTTTTCTAATCTGAGAAATAAAGTTCATAGCCTCTATAATTAACCCATTAAAAATAAACGTTCAAACGCCAAAAGTTTACAAACCACTCACTACCTTTGGTTTCCTGACCTTCCCTGGTATTTGGAAAGACTAATAGAGCTGAAGAATTTGTTCCCCGCAAACCTAGAGAGCTGTGAGCGGATCTAGCTGTGTGGATGGAAATGGGGAAGAGTAGACAGACTCTGGAATGCACGCTAGGGAATGTGCCACACAGACATCCAACTCCAGAAAACACCTTTCTTCTCTTGGTGGCCAAGCACGCTGATGAAGCAGGCTAGTCTCTGCCAACTTATACAGTTGCTTCTTGTGTTCTTCTGGCTCTCGATCTTGAAGTCTACAATTGATCTTTTTTCAAATGTAATGCTTTCTAAGGATTTTAGTACAAGTGTCCACACGTCCTGGTCCCCACCCTCTTCCCTGCCCACGGCTGGGAAATCGGAGAACCTGGCTGTAGGATCCCACTATGAAGTCTTCCCTCTTCCTCAGGGAGCTGTAAAAAGGGAACCCAGTCTTCAGTGCCCCACCTAGCATCAGAACTCTCCTCAGAGTCCTTGTCATGCTGTTGTCTGTCTGTCTGTGGTATTAATAAAATAACTCTTCTTGCAAGCTTCTTACCCTCCCCCAACAATCTCTCAATGTCCCCCTGAATCCAATGTCCGAGACCTTTCACTTACCAATAGGAAAGGGTATCTTCTAGTGGCTTTGTGTCATTGATAGCAAAAAGAGTGGTCTAGAAAACAAAATGCACACATGAAAAAAGTCAGACTAGAAAACATATCAGCCCCAAGTCACACGTTGCAATTTTAAGCCATCCACCACCTGTGCAATGTATAGATGTGAGGACTGCTACCCTCCCACATACAGTGAAAGTTATGTTACCCATAACACAGATGGGAAAGAATGATGGTAGGCCTGTCAGGGAAAAGGCTTTGTTTTTGTTTTGTTTTGTTTCTAAGTATTTATTACCTCTCTTAATCAACTGACCCACCTCTCCCTCCCTTATACCAGCCGTTCCAGGGATCTTCATGATAGAAAAAATGGGGTGAGGAGTAACTGCTGGTTCTTCACAGTGACTCAGCAGCAAGTGAAATATAATTTCCAAAAGGAAATATGGATGACATTATAAAATAGTTCATTAAAGAAAGGATCATTTGATAATAGAATGGAGAAATCCCTGAGCACTACAGAACCCAGATATATGTATATTAGAATGGCTGAAATAAAAGCCCCAAATAGGGCATTGAAAATGAAAGTGGAGAAGGTTATACAACTCTGAGAGGTGGGCAATTTGAGATGATGGGGAGTCGTGGAGTCAAAGGCTACTTTGAGATTTCCAGACCAGAAGACCAGAACATGATCATCTTGTCGTAGACCTCAGAGAGGAAATGAGAAAATCAGGATTACTTCCCTAATTTAGAAAACAATTTGAAGTCCTTGGAGATGTGTCTGTAGATGATGAAATTCTCTGCAGTGAAAAAAAAAAATTCATCACTGATACCAGAGGGGGAGAGAGGAGAGAAGATGCTGCAAAGATCATAGGCTGGTGAGGACCGGAATGAGCGAGCTGAGCACAGAACCAAGGTTGAGAATCTGTTTCATGGACCAGAGGATGGAGAAGGTACAGCCAGGGGCTGATACAGTGAGAAACTGATATCAAATCTTCACCGGCACCTAAAGAGCAATTTACAGGGAAGGGAATATTCCTGGAGCCCATCATTGAGTAGCAGTTAGAGTGAATGGGGCCATTGATTTTTTTCTTCGCAATCAGAGTCATCAGTGAGAGCAGCTTTGGCAGAGAGTAAAAGGAGACAAATTTGCAGCAGAGTCGGAGTCAGCACAAATCGGCAGAGCAAGGTCAGAAAAGCTAGGAGAGTGAGTGGGTGAGTGGGACAGTTTAGAAAAGTGACATTGTCCATGATATAGACTCCCAGGAGGGCTAGAATGTGGAGAAAAAAAAAAAAAAAAAAGAGAAGTCACCAAGAAGGGTTGTGGTAGTCCATGCCTGGAATCCTATCCCATGAGTGGTGGGAACTCTTGGGAAGGTCCAAAGTTCAAGATTCTCTTCAGCTTCATGGGCAGCAAGCCTGTGACCAACCTGGACTCCCTGAGATGGTGGTTCAAGAGCAGAAAAGAAGCTGTATAGGCAAGAGTTACCCTTGAAAGAGGAGATGGAAGAGAGCAGTTGGGAGAGCAGAGACCCAAGAGGTGGGCGTGAATGGTTATCTATGAAACACTTGTTAAATGGGTGAACCTTGTCCTTCTCTTAGGAAGTGACATGTGACCCATTATAAGGATGTAGGCATTTGAAGTAGATCCTTAAGGAATTAAATTAGGGGAGCATATATGCCAACAAAGGATTCTAGGGCCCAGTAGACCGTAATAAGAATTTAGAGTTTTTTGGGTTTTTTTTCCTGACAGGTTTCAACAGTTCAGTACCAGACGGGGAGTTGACTAGACATAACCAAAGAACACAAAGCATATTAGCAAATCATGCAGTGTTTAAGAATCTCTGATCATTACAGATGCTTCTCTGGAGTGGTCCCCAGGCTTCCAAGTACAGTGTGGAGAGAAAGGATAGAAATGAAAGGCAACAGAGAGACAGATGAGGGCTTCACAACTACAGGCCCCAGGGTCTCATGTGACTCTGTGGGAAGAACTTGGGAGTCTTCCATCCCTGCTGCAGCTAGTGTTCTGTTTATATTTAAAATGTAAAGGTGTGTGTGTGTGTGTGTGTGTGTGTGTGTGTGTGTGTGTGTGTGTGTGTGTGTGAATGCTTTCATTTAAAGAGGAACACTCTGTTGCACGTAACACCATTTGAACCGCCATAGGCCTGGAGACAAGGAACAGGAAATATTACTACAAATTAGAGAAGAAACTTAGATTGTAGGAGCCGGGAAAGTCGCTAACACAGGATGTGGTTTAAAAGGCGGATTCAAGTGTTAAGGTCTTGGGGATCTCTTAAAGGGAGGCGGGGTGCAGCCATGGGCTGTGTTGACGAGAGCTGAAGAAGGATGACTTTCCTCAAAAAGGGGCATTGAGGGAGCTGAAGTGCCACAAAGCGAGTGTGTTAGAAGGTTGTCACCACAATAAGGACAGAGAAAGCAAAAGGTTTAAGTTAGCACATGGGAGAGTCGGCAGCAAGAAAATGGGGAAATTAGAAAAAGTCAAAAACTAACCTAAAAGGTTAGGCAGCGGAAATATGTGTGGAGTATGGAATTTTAGACAGCAGTTTGAGAAGGGAAAGCATCCTGAATGAGCAGAGTATCCAAAAAAACTCTTCTCTTTGTCCCATGTAAAAGAGGGGGTATGGGTTTCAGTTGGAGCAGGGCTGGAAGTGTCTTTAAAGTAGGGGGCTAGAAGACCCCCTTTGGAGAAAGTGACATTTCAGCCGAGGACCATTGCGCAAGCCATGCTCAAGCACAGGAGGCCAGAGCTTGTAGAGAAAGGTATCTAGACGTAAAGTACTCCTTTCATGGTCAAAGCTGGGGATAAAAGTAAGACAGATGTCTGGCTGGCTGGAGGCTCACAGGGGTACCAGAGAATTCGAGACAATGCGTGACTTTGAGGCTAAGCAAAAAAAAAAAAAAAAAGAACAAAACACAGAGGGCCCGAATTTGGGGCGAGCGGAATGTATGAAGCTTCATTGATTTACCACTGTGCCCGCCCAGTCCTGGAGATAGACTGGGGACCAGCACAGCCGCACCATTCCTGGGACGACATAGAAATGGTGGCCTCAAAACAAAAGGTTGGCGTGTTCATAATCACGTACGGCTGAAATGGGAAAACTTTGACACACCCTCTCAGCTCTCCTTTCCAGAGAAAAGGATGCAGGCATGCGGGGATGGAATGACCTGCCCCAAGGTCTTCTTCAGCTGATGCTTGTTTGTTCAGCCCAGGACTAGATGACATGCTCTAAACTCAAGGTTGTCCTGTTCTCAGTCTCTTTCCAGTTCCTGGGACTGGGGCAGAGTGGCTACACTGGTCATGACTCCAATGTGACAAATTGGGAGATGTATTTAACTGTTCATCTGGAACCCAACGTTCTGCTCTAAGACCCATATTTAAACTCCCTCTGTTGCCCTGCCCATGAGCTTCTGTGCTGGCATACTCTATTTTGGAAATGCTGTTCTTGTATGAACCTCCTGTCACCTTCTTCCTGTTTGTCCCTTTAGTGTCTTTAGCCTCTAGCACTGTGGGATTGGCTGGACAGGTGGTTCACACGGAAACCACAGAGGTTGTGCTGACGGCCGATCCTGTCACGGGCTTTGGAATCCAACTGCAGGGCAGCGTGTTTGCCACAGAGACGCTCTCCTCGCCGCCTCTGATTTCCTATATTGAAGCTGACAGCCCAGCAGAGAGGTGGGTTGTTCCCCCCACCTTCCCAGAAGCCTCTGTGTCCTGCATGTCTAACCCCAGCAATCTGTAAATAACTAATAAATAATGTAACAGTGCGCAGTGCGGGAAAAGCAAAATGTAGTTAACTCTCCGTTCTGATGATAAAATTTTATGTTCCTGATCGGTTTGAGAAGCATTATGAGCACCAGTGATATTATTTAGCAGATTTTGTCCATTGGAAAACTAGAGGCTGTATTAATTATAAGGGAGAAAAATCTATACAAAAAAAATGGTAAAGTTCAACTGAAGTTATTACTCTGCATTGCAGGAATGTCTGTTCATCTTCACTGTCTGTTCCTTCTGGTCAGGTGATAGTGCTATCATAGTGATGAATTATTAATATGCTGGATCCTTAAGAACCTCCTTGCCCACACTTGTTACCATGGGACTTGAGAGTGCAGGGCATTGCGATTGGCCAGACATGCTTGCCAGTAGCCTTGGCTTAACAAGATCAAACGGTTAGGCTATTTTGTAAAGATTTGATGAGGTGGAGTGGCCAGCTCAACTCCATGATTGTTTAACTACAGCCTCTCTCGTGTGGTTCTGAACTAGATGTGGGGTGCTGCAGATTGGAGACAGAGTCATGGCCATTAACGGAATTCCGACGGAAGACAGTACCTTCGAGGAAGCCAATCAGCTCCTGCGAGACTCTTCCATCACAAGCAAAGTCACACTGGAAATTGAGTTTGATGTTGCAGGTAAAATCTGAACTTCAGATCAGTGATAGAGTCAGGAGAGGGCTGTGTGTGACTTACATCAGCTATGTGGGAGAAAGGGGACGTGTGTGTGTGTGTGTGTGTGTGTGTATCCACATACACACACATATATACATATATATACATATATATGTATATATGTACACACACACACACACACACACACATATATACACATGTATCCAACATGTTTTTGTTTAAGAGGCTTATTGTGTCATTTTGAACTGTTTGTTTTATTCATTAAAATGTCCACCCAAGAACTGAAAATCAATATGACAAATCACACAAGTGATGTCCACCATGGATGTGGATGTGCTTTTGAAAAGTTGTGTCACCTTGACTCTTTCTAACTTTGCACCTTTGTGCTGGAGAAAGCAGATTCCTTAGACCCAGAAACAAGAACACCTTGTCTGAGAACACACGGCAGTTAGGTAGGGAGCAGGGAAAACCCATGGGGTGAATGGATACAAGTCCAGTAGGCAAATACTTGACCTTTACTAGTAAAGAGCAATTGCACTTGACACTCGTGAGGAACGACGAGGAAGACTCCATTCAAGAGTGTTTCACCAGGGTCAAGAGGATTCTAACAGATGATAGAAACCATCTCTAAATACAGACAGGGAGGGTAGACATGGACAGATGGCCAATGGGCAGGGTGAGTGTGAGGAGAACCAGTGGGTAAAAGAAATACTAAGAGAAACCTTAGATGTCAGAGGCAGGGAAGGGCGTACAGAGGTTTGCTAAACTGACTCTGAGGTATTCTTGATATTCTCTTTTTTATCTTTGCTCTTTTTTTTTAGTTGATATACAAAATAATTGTGTTTTCATTTTCCTACATGTACTTTGCTCATATTCATCCCCTACTGTCTTTCCTATTTCATGTCATCTCCCTCTCACTCCCCTCTCAAATAATCCCCTACTGTTTCCACATCATTCATAGATGGTAGATAGATGATAGATAGATAGATAGATAGATAGATAGATAGATAGATAGATAGATAGAT